GGCGGAGGGCGTCCCGGGCGCACGGAAACGGCCCCGCCGGGGCATAAACAAGCCGCCTGCCCCGCCGGCCTGGGGAGGAGATGAAAGCCGGGGTTTCCTCCTCTGATCACGAGACAGGCTCTGAAAGGGTGCGGGGCTCAGCCTTTATCTACTTCATACTCGGAAATGGCTTTAGAATGAACTGCTAAGATAAGCTGCCTCGGACGGGGCGACGAGAACGGGTTTCGGGCATTTTGATTTTGGCAACAAACCCTTAAATGCAGCCTGAGCGGGAACAGGCGAGTTACAGCTGGGCTCAGAGAGCCGCCAAGTCCAAGCACCGCCGGGGGGCGGGAGCGCGGGCCGAGGGGCCGCCGGGCTCTCCCCACCTGCGCGGGGCCCGCGCCTCTCACCCGCCGCAGCTCCCACTTCCCGGGGGGCATCGGGCACCCCGGGAGCCGCTACCTGTGTTTTTCCTTAAATGCAGGCGCAAAACCAAACTGAAGGGGTGAGAAGTCTGCAGAGAGGCTGCGAGGGGGAGGTGGTGACTGACGGGCACGCAGGGGGGGCTCGGCCGGGAATGTTCTGTTTCTTTACCTGGGGGGTGGTTCCCCGGGTGCCTTCACTCTGTGAAAGTCTGTAGAGCCGTACAATTAAGAACTGTTCACTTTTCTGTAGGAATGTTCCACTTCAATAAAATCGACATTAAAAATTACGCACACCCACGAGCGCACGCGCCCCATGCACAGACCCTGGAGCCCAGAGTCTGCAAGGAACGGGCTGCAGACAAAAGGGGGGGGTCCACAGAAAACCCCACCCATCTTTCCACCCCTAGTATCTGGGCATCTTCAGAAAGAATTCTGGATATGTCGGGAAGAGGCCAGGGCCCAGCAACCGAGGCTGGGTTTGGGGGCTCTTGTAGGACCCAATCTTTTGTAGCCAAATGATTTCTGAGGGCAACAGCACAGCTACATAATTTATTTCCACTTACACACACACACACACACACACACACGGAGTTTTCTAATTCACTCAAAGCATTTTTGAGAAATATTTTCCCTGAGGTGGGGGCAGGAGTGAGGGTGTGTGGAATGGATGCTGTTTTGGAAGGTCAGTTGCTTCTCTTAGATTCTTTTTTTAAAAGACATTTCCTTCTGATAGACTTTTGCTTTCAGAAAATACTTTAGAAAGAGATCAAAGCCCTCTCTCCCCAACCCACTTTCCCAGTGTCTTCAACCCTTACTTCTCTTATCAGCCGCGCCACTGAGCTCTGACGCTCTGTATACAGAGCGAGGGCAATTGGCTTTGAAGGCCCGGATTAGGCCAGGCCAAATCCCTGCCTCAGAAAAACAAACAATACAGGTTCAACAGGAGTTCTCATCGGTAGTTCATTTTTCAAGCGCAAATTCACTGTCACTAACACAAGCAACATTGAACCCAACAGGCTCTGAAGGCTGATAGTGGAGATTTATCTGGTGGCATAACCGTGACCTAGGAGTAGAGCAGTCAGACGGTTAGGAAATTTTCATTTTGGGGAGGTTTATATTTAAATTTTTGTGGAGCTCACTTTTATCTGTGTTTGGGAGAAAAATGCAGTTTCTCACATGGATCAAGCTTGGCAGGGATGTCAGGAGGCAGAGGAAGGGGTCTGTTCTCTGCAGTCAGCAGCAGGAATCTTCCAGTCTCTGGGGCCTGAGAGGGACCTGGCCACCTCTTATCCCGGACATCAGGGGCTCCTGAGCATTCAGAAATTGATGTGCCACGCTGTGGTTGGCATTTTATTCGCCAGATCAAATTGTTTGAGAATTCAAACTCACTCTCGTGGCCTTCAGACCTTCAAAGGCAAGAGGCCAGAGGCTTGTGACCCGTGGACTCAAACTGACTTGAGAACATTCTGTTCCCTCTTCTCCAGGACCCGCCCTTCCATCATCCAGACAACAGTTATCACGCCCCTTACCAGCCAGGGCCTCCAGGGCAGAGCAACACCCCCGTTCAAAACACTGAACTGGCCCTATAAATAAGCAACCAAGGAGGCTTCTCAAAGTTGGGGTTTTGTTCTGGGGGTGGAGTAGCATCTGCTTGGCCCGTGTAGACCTGGTCATTGCCTAACTCTGCTTCTATCTGCAAGAGCCAAGTGCATTCTTTCTCTGGGGTCAGGGTTTATGTCCAATTCTAACAGTCTAGGAACCTATGAGTCAAGGTTTAGGAGAAGGGTCCAGGTCATCTGCTGAGAAATGGAAGTTCCCAGGAGGGATGCTGGGGGCATGGACAGGAGGTTGAAGAGCCACAAGCCGCCTCCTGCGGCTGCCCATGAGACAGAGGCAACCGGGGGGAGGGGACACAGGGATCAGAGCAGTGAAAGTGGTCTCTGAAGTCAGTGGGCAGCTATGCAGGAGGGAAAAGGGTCTGTGAGAACTGAGGGGGGAGGGAGGAGGCTAGTGACTTTCTGAAGGACTAGACCTGGTTCAAGAATAACTTTCTGCCAGAGGAATGAAAGACTGTGATGAATCCATAATTTGCCGACATCATCACAACCGTTTTTAAGTTATATCATCAGTCCCTGAGGCCCATCTCTAAGCCTTCATTAGGATCAGGCACAACAGTCTGCCTGGAGTGTCACCTCTGGAAGTGTGAGTGTGTTACACGCGCGCTCAGGCACGCATGTGGGGGGGG